CTTTTCCACACTTCATCAGGAGTGTTAGTCTTATCTAAAATGTTCCCATAACTGGAGGTTAAGTCACTCCATCCCAAACCCAATGCCCTTTGCTGCCAGACCCTTCCTGCTATCCTTTGCCACACTGTCCATCTTTCTATCCAAATGCTCATGCCCATGTAGCCTGCTAAAAGGGGTTGAACAGAAGGAGGAAGTGATGCTCAGGATCTGAAATGTGGCTATGGCAAGGCAGGGCTCAAAGGGGACCATCCTGGCCAGGAGAGGTGAATATTCTGTATGTGCCCTTATGAGCTTCCCCAGCAGCTCAGAGCCCTTAGGAAAATGAGTCCTGATGGAGTTAAAGAAAAATAAAGAGCTATGTTTGGCTACTGAGCCCCTTGAGAGAGAGTTCATGAATTATTGCAGTGCGGAGACAAATAGAGCTGGAGGTACGCACTTCATGCTGCATAAGGTTTTGATTTAAGATGTTTTATATAACTTGAACAGCAGTAAAGCACAGAGCAGCAAGTCAACATACAGCAAATGCAGTGTTTGCCTTTGCTGCAGAGCAGATTTATAGCAGGGAAAGGCAAGAGGAGAGTGGTGTGGGGATGGGGTGAGGTTGCTGGGATGCAGTGCAAAGGAGGCTCAGCAGGACCTGTGCTTCCCAACCTGCAGTGTTTCCAGATTCATTTCTTCTACCAGATGTTCCCAATAGGTTGCACACGGGCAGTGCTCAGTCTAGAATGTTAAAGGAGCATCGTGGCTACGCACTGCTCCAGTGAAGGAGTCAGCAAGAAGATCTGAGGGCAAAAAAACAATGTCCCATGCCCAGGTCTTCTAAACCCATGTCATGTCCATGCAGAGATCAGTCTTATTGTCACACATTCAAAGACATTCCTACAGTCATCTTGCCTGATGACACCCTATATCTAAATGTCTAAAAAGACTGTCTGTTGTGAAAGGTATTCTTAAGATACCTGAAGTGAAAGACTTTTAGGTAGTGGAGCTCCAGTGCTTTTTAGCAGTGCTGCCCCAAGGGAACATGCATGAGGAGCTAGCTAGAACTCAGCTCCTCTCACTTTAGTAGACGAAAGGCAAGACTTGGGTGCCATTGCTGGGTTTTGAATTATTTGAGCTCTGTAACACTAACTTCAGCCATTTAAGGACAATTTGTGGTGGATGAACACTGCCATCATGCCTTTCCTATCCACTGTTCCGTTCAAATGAAGCTTCTAGAAGGCAGATGTATGTGTCTGTCAATCAGGCAATTGTATATATATATACGTCAGTTCAGGGTGTTTGGTAAAGGGTTCACATGCCTGTAACGTGATGCTCCAAAAATCAGTTTTATTTGTTACAGTGCTGATTTGTTTGGCAGATGGACAGATCTTGTAAATCATCTAGATGTGGTGAAACTCAAAACCGGGTATATTTGTGACAGGACGTTTCAGACAAATACTCAGATATATTTAATTTGTAGTTTCACAGCTGTAGGCTGTCCAGGATAAATCCTAAGGCTCTATATGTTTCTTGTGCTACCCTTCTTGTGACATCTCCTGATAATGCTCTGGACTCGAGTTAACTACTGCTGAGGAAGCCTTGCTGACATAACTGTGGAACTGAAACAAGCAGAGGAGCAGACAGAGATCTCCACAACAAACAACTCTTCTGAACTGTGGGGCATTAGAGAACATAGCTTAAAGGAAACCTAGAAAAAATAACCCATTAGTTTTTCTCAGGAGCTATTTCCTGGTCCTCCTTGTTTCCCAGGTCTGGGGGCATGTATGCCATTGCTTAACTGCTGCTATTGATACCATGTGGGGATAAGAGTTGTGAGCTATCCACCCTTTCCTTCAGTGGCACTAATTGGAACTGGCTCCTCAGTGACCTACCTTGCTGGATAAAGATTTCATTGTCCCTTAAACATTGCATAAACTGCCCCATCACCACCACCTTTTACTGTACCTGTTGTGTCAAGCTATGATGCGGAATAGCAGCACAGGCCAGTCCCAGAAATGCCTTTGGACTAAGGTTTGCTCTGGATGGTTGTCAGTGCAAACTGTGCACGTTTCTATGTGCATGATACCACCTAAAATGGGGTGTGAAACTCTTTTCTGTAGATAGGCTCCATAGGGAAGATTGCGTAATGCTGGGATATCTCATCTGGCTGTAAACAACAGGTATTCAAATACCAACACGGACCAAAGGCTGGTTAACTTCTCACCTATGTGTTCAGCAGCTGGATTAGTTAAACTGGCTGAGCTGTGCTCCTAGCTATTGCAGTTGCACAGTTCTCAGCACCTTGGCTGCACCCATGTGGGCCACGGCCTTAGCAGTAAGAGCAAGGGTAGGATAGCACCCTTGTTTAAACATCACCCCCACTGCAGAGCTGTGTGACAATTGTTGTTTGTGACCAGTGTGTGAGAATGTGAGGACTCCACCTTGTTATTTTTCCCCATGTAGAAGGAGCAAAGAGTTTATTTTTCAGCTGGTAATCCTGTGATTGCAGGCAGGCATCCAGCTATCAAGCTGTGCTCTTCCTATCACCTACCCTATTGGTAAACAAAGCTGTGCCTGTCCAACAGTACCCCAGTGTTTTATAACTGTGTTGCTTTAGTCATCTCTCTGGATATATCCGGACAATTTAAGATCTAAACGGTTGGTTTCAGAATGGAGAGGGAGTGCAAAAGCCAGTGAGCTGGATAGCTTTTGATGGTGTTTGAGAACTTTCTGAATGACTATGTAGAGCTGGATTACCTCTGCTGACAGATGACTAACCTCAGAAAGTTTGGGAGTGCCTGTGGGATGAGGCTAATGCCATCCCTGATGTCTGCCATCAGATATTACCATTCCCCTAGCAGTCAGCTCAGACAGATGAGACATAGTTGGGTTCACACAACCTCACACTCCAGCTGTGTGAATTGTTTGTTCCTCTGCATTGGACTATGTTATATGCCGTGCCTATCACTACATCGATGGAAAAGGCAAGAAATCCCTCATGAAGTAGAGTTTCCACCTCCTGTCTTCCCAGCAAACGTCTTTTCCTAACTCAGTGCTCTCCTTTGCAGGGATTTAAATTCAAGAAGTGTTCTGCTTGAAGTTTTGCAAGGGTTTGGCAAACACAAAAGCCAAGATGTGCTGGCTGTTTTCAAACAGCACTTGAAATGAGTTGGCATCAAAACCAAACTCCCTCCTCTTCAGTGCAATTTCTGGCCCTCTATCTGTGAGCTCCCAGTCTCCCTTGTATGTATTTATAAAAGAACCCTTATGAGAGGATGGTCGGAGCAAGCATTTGCTTTTTAGCAGAGCACTGCAGTGCTTTTGCACCAGAAACAAGGGCTCATGGGGACTGGAAGCAGTTGCTGTGTTTGTGTTGACTGGCCAGGGCTTTCAGCTGCTGGGGGTTTCCAAAGCAAATGAAATGTTATTCATCAAAGCGGGCTCCCTCCCCTACTTTCAGTTGTTGAAAATACTACAAAGCAAGATGGAAAGAAACATGTAATCCTTCATCATCACAGTGAGGATTTACTTGTTTATTTAGTTTCCCTGTCTGTTCCAAATGTTCTGCCAGAGAAAGCCCATCCAGGCTCCAGGAGTGCTTGACACACACACACAAAATAATCTAGATGTATATAGGAGATAAATGCAGCAGAAGACTCTGCCTCTCCTCACATTGTACCAGTGCAGGAATTAGCTGAAAGTCCCACTTGCACAGTAAAATATCTCAGGACGCTTTTCGTAGGAAAAGAAGGAAGGAGGGACATCACCCCAGGCAGAAATAGATTTTGATGGTGGCTTCTCTTTTCCTGCTTGCAAAACGTGGCCCATGGAACTTGGTGCCTTCGTAGCCAGTGAAAAGAGAGAGTTGTGTTCAGTGATTCCTCCCACTTGATTCCACCCTCTTGAAGGGTGTCTCTCCCTGCAGACATTATGGGAGAAACCAAAAGAGAGGAGCCTAGACACAAGTCTCACTTTTAGCTGCTTAAGAGAAGGCAGCTGAATCCCATCCCAAGTGACACTGTCCATCAGGAACACAACTCCTTTGCATTGAAACGAGCCAGCAGCCTCTGTAGCTGGTGTTTCTCATCCCATTCCTATTACTGGACGTACAAATGGGAAGCAAGTCAGAAACAGGAGACTGTGAACATGGCAATCACATGTAGCTGAGATATAGACTCATCCTAGGATGAGTTAGTAGAGGAAGAACAGATGTTTTACTCTTGGACCACAATGCAATGCAGTGAATTTGAAGATGCCCTGTGAGCTGCTCTTCTAGTGATGCCTTGGGTGCAGCAGCTTTGAAGCTGGCTTTTTTTCTTGCCTGCCTAAGAGCCAAAGGCATGAGCGGACATCAAGAGCTGGATGTTCCTCCTGGGGGCAATATTGCAATATGTTGGAAAGAGGCAGAATGCGAGGGGTAGTTTTCAGCCAATAACCCCCTCAAAAAATCAATTCTATTAAAGTTATGGGGTCTTAAATGCTTCTAGAGACAGATGAGAATTTACCCTTTAGGGTTTTTTGTGAAAGAAGCCCATATAATGAGGTGTTTAAGATAACTCAGTTCTTGAAAAAGCAAACCCAAGCAGTCTGTGTTTTGTGGGTGCTGTCCCCATTTCACATGTTGATGTAAAGAAGAAAGGGCAGGCTTGCATCAAAATCTGGGGTTTCTGAAGGGCTGCTAAGCTGAATCAAACCTAGAGTTTTCCAAAACTGACACCCCTTGGCCTGAACTCGTTTCTTACCAGAAATGCAATGTAGTGGGCTGGACAGGTCTGTCAAAACAGCTCATAAAAGTAATTGTGGATCATTAGTGTCATTAAAATCAGCAGTTTTTTGTCTTTTCTGAGTATAGAAGTGAAAGAGAGGATTTTACTAAAAAAGGTATGAAAATAGTATAGAACTTCCAAAAAAAGCATTCTGCTTTTGTAGAACTGTGGGGTGTTTCAAGGAACCCCTTGCTTTAATAAGCTTTTGAGTGAAGCTCACTTATTTTTGTGTTGTTTCTCCTGTCCCCTCAGCTCATGTGCTCCTCAGTGCAGAAAGCCCTGTTTGAGGAGGAGGACAGAGTGAAGAAGCTGCAGCAGAAAGTGGCGACGCTGGAGAAGAGGAACAAGCAGCTGCGAGATCGGGTGAAGAAAGTCAAGAGGTCTCTCCGGCAAGCCAGGAAAAACACCAGGCACATGGAGCAAATGAACCGAAAGCTCAGTGAGAAACTTTCCTCTGCCGGTGGTCAAATCCCCTATATTAACTCTTTGAAGCAGGAGAACTCTCATGCTACCTACCTTAAAGTATAATGCAAGAGTGAGTGCTCAGGCCAATGGTAATGGCGAACTTTGCCTGCATTAGGTCAGGATCTGGTCTTCACACCTTGTCTACACCTCTTCAAACCTTGCATGGGAAACAGATTTGAACTTGCTTTAGACACAGAGCTAGATTAAACAAGAATACAAACTGGATTTGGCTGTGTGTTGTTGGCACAGCCCAAACCCGTCATCCTCGCTGTCCTCAGTGGACCAGACAGTAATGTGTGCTTCTCCAACCTCACCCCCTTCCACCTCTGTCACCAGATTCAGGTTGTTTTTGATGAAGGTGGCATGGGCCCCATGCGCCATTGCAGGCACTCCATTTGCAGGAGCTCTTCTTGCCAACTCCTCACATGGGCTGGGTAAGCAAGGCCAGGGGATATATGGATATAGATGCTGTGGGAAGAATGCAGACATGAACACTCTTTGCTGCATCATCATGCCCAAGGTCTCAACCACGCTTAAGCTTGACTCAATTCTACACCCAGTGTCTGAGCAAAGGCCATGTCTGGGATACAGTCAGTTTGGGCCTCTCTCCAAAATGAAGTATAGATGTGCCCAAATTGCCTTAAGATGCTTATAGATGTCACTAGGCATTCTAAATAGAAATACCTAGTATTTTTTATTTTACCAGGAAGTGCCTCAAGGGTCTCAGTAACTCCATCAGGTGCCTTTAGCATTGCCCAGCCAACAAGGGTTGGAAACACATCATTTTGAGATTGTGTCTAGGACCTAATCCAGCTCCAACAGTCAGGAGTGGACTTAGCCTGACTATTAGTGCGTGTGGGATCAGGACCAGCAGGCAGTTACAGATCCCATTTTCAAGCAGGTTTCATTTACAGTGTGGTCAAGGCTTCAAGTTTTGTAATCACTGTTTGAGGTATATTGGAGGTTGCTGGGCAGCCTCACTTAGTTACACTTAGATACTGTAGAGACCACATCAATATTGACAGGGCATTAAAAATTAAGGTAGTTTATATATGTATATATTTTAAAAACCTATAGAAAATATTTTTATTACACATTTGATATAGTCTAAGATCTTAAGATATGAAGCAAATCCCATTTCTTGGTTATCTCGTTAAAACAGAAGTTCATCACATCCTTTATTCAACATTTACAAATTGTCTTGTGCTCAAGTAGCATAGGTTAAGGAATCAGTATCTGTGGCTAACATTTTCAGCGGTGTTAATGTACCAGCGCATGTCTTGGGTCTTGTTACTCAACCAACTTTCTTCGTAACAGGGCCCCATAAGGAGAGAAAGATAGAAGAGTTTTTGTGGTTTTCTTCCTTTCTCAAAGTAGTTTTTCTTATTCCAAGCATGAGACACAAGTGCAGATATGCTTCAGGGGCTGCTTGCTCAGCCTTTGGCAACACTGACAAAACACCAGAGCTAAACCTCATTCATACAAGGTGGACCAATGCAGATGATCTTCAACACACAGATGAGATCTTCAGCAATAACAGTGCGCAAACCAGCACTCTGATCCTAACTCTCCCCACTTCCCAGACCACTGCATGGTCTACCTGCTATGTCTCAGCACTCAAGATTAGAGTATATCCAGGCCACAGCCCTGCTAGACCATGCTTTAACTCTCCCTGCACTAGGAAAAGCCCGTATCAACTTTCAGCCATGAGATTCAGTCCAAGCTGGACTCAGAAGTTAAGCCTTGTGTTGGCTTCTAGGATGCTGCTGAGCTTAATTACCTTCCAGTTTCACTCCTTTTGGAAATAGAGCTTTCTCCACACCCTCCCTTGAAATAATACTGGCATTTCTTAAGATTCTGACTCCTCCACAAGCTCCCCTGGTTTCAAAGGCTTCACCTACCAAATCAGCACAATTTGAGTTGGTTTGTGCTGTAGTCAGCAATGCTGTTTCCTGACAATTACTACAGACCTAAGGCTTCCCTAGAAGCCATCAAGAGATTTTAACTCCAAAATCCAAATCCATAGGAAAGTAACTACTTTTTTGTTTGGTTGGTTCTGATTTCCAAACTGCTGTTTAAATAAATGAACTGTTTTTTTTTCCTGATATTGGTATTAAAAGCTTGTGTTTGAATTCTTTTTTGTTAATAAAAATATTCTCCTCTGGTATTCATTCATGTTTTATAAATGCTTGTATAAAGCTGAGGAAGTATAGTTAATATAGCCTTACCTCTGCTATTCTTACAGATTTTCCACACACAGTGTTGAAAATCCTTTACTTCTGGCTGATTCTTCTGTCTCTTGATTAAAATATTGGTATTTTCTCCCTATTTCCCCCTTTCTCTAGCTTGAAAAAAGTAAACCAGCTTGTTCTCCTTGTCACTTCTGTGAGAGTTTTATTTGCAAAGGGAACAAAACAACCCAAAAGCAAAGTTCAAACTCAACCCAAAATGTTGCCTTTGGGTACAAACCCAAAAAATAGTTTCCTTGTGAGTTTTTTTTCCTTTCATTCCTTGGGTTTGGATCATTCCCAGAGATAAGGACTAGCAGTCAGACCAGATCACCAGTTAACCCTCTCAGCAAAGAACAGGGGATGATGCCAAGCCCAAATAAAAATGCTATTGAAGTGTCACCTCTGACTGCCTCTCGCTGGTAGTAGTAGCCACAGAGTGACCAGGGAGGCAGTATGGACAGGAAACAGGAATGGAAACTGGAATTTGGTTGCATCCATTCAGGTTGGTACATGCCACATAGGGCCTGACACATACTCTAATGTTTAGACTCACTCTGCATCAGCTTCAGGGACCAGCTAATCTGGAATCCCACTAAAAGGGCAAAATTTCATGCCATTTGCCAAATCAGTGTGAAAGGCATGATGGAATGTGTTCCTTTTGAAGAGCTACGTGGGAGAGACTGGGGTGCAGAAATGCAGAGGAGGTTGGCATAGCTGGATGGGATGGCATAGAAATCAAAAAAATCCTGGAAAAAATGAAAAACAACAACAACAAAAGAAATCAGAAGAGTATAGATGAGGAAAGCAATTGGTTAGAAGCAACACCATATGTGGCAGCCTCCCATGAAAAGTTAAAGATGCTGTACAAATCAATAACATCTGCTTCTGCAAACACACCAGGAGCCTGAAGACTGCCAGAATGTCTGCAGGGCCAGTGCTAGGGGTTCCCAGAGCAGATAAAGCCAGAACCAGAGGCAAGGAGAGGGGTTTCGGCAGCTGTGTTCACTTTGGAGGAATTCAGGGATGCTCCAATGGCTGAATCAGTTTTTCCTCATGGATCCACAGGATGACAAGGAGAAAGAGCAAAATGAATAGTGATAAATTGCAAGGACAGAGAGCAAAAAGGTATGAACAGTAACAAAGAGTAGACTTAGCTGCGTGATGCTGGGTGAGTGACTGACAACAAAAGTGAGATGCAATGTAGGTAATGTAAAAAGATATTAAAGGGAGAAAATAAAAACAGGCCTATCTTTTCACACAGAAGGAGATGCTCTGAGCTGGCACCAGCTAGCTATAATCATTGTATACAATTCGTGATAAATTAGTCAATAGATTGAATCAATCTAGTATCATGATGACAGAGAGGTTGCATCATATTCAATAAAAACATTACCTCAACACTTAGCTGCAATCAAAATGGAGCTTAAGCGGTAGAAATTGTTTGGAAAGGGCTAGAGACCATAATTACACTGCTAAGTATGAGGGATGCCTACTTCTGGGATGAAGGGTGCGTTATTTCATGTCTCAAAAACAGGTGCCTAATAGGAAAGGTATAGTGAGAGGCAACAAGAAAAATCCCCAAAACAAAGTAGCTTCATATGAGAAGCAACCATGTTTTCCAGGACTTTGGGCTGGAGGAGAAAGAGGAGAATGACAGAGGTGAAACAGGACAGTGGAAATTTGGGGACTGTCCTCTTTTCACCACATGCCTCTGTTGTGCTACTTCAGTCACTGGTTAAACTTTTGCAAGGTTTGTGTGTCTCACCAGAGCTGAAGCAGATACTTCAGGTGCTCATCTGCACCCAAAAAAGCACCTTCTGTCCTTAGACTATACAATAGGATTTGATGGGTTTTTTGGAAGTCGATGCTTATAGAGCAAAGTACTGTATAGTATATATATATATAAATAATATAATATAAAATCAGTATTTGCTTATAGAGCAAATAAACTGTATAATTTTCTTTTAAATCCCAAGCACTCTTCTGATTTAACAAACCTACCTGGGTAGTTCAGGAAGAACTATATAGTAAAGCAGGATTTATGGAGAGCAAACCATGTTAGCAGCTTTCTCTGCTCCTTAACACCCTAACTGTTGAGAAAAGAATGACTTCCATATGTTTGAACAATAATTTAAGGAAATAGCCATGTTACTCTGTTTGAGTTTGAGCAGGAGAGGTTTTCGGACCAGAAGAGCACAGTGGTGTTCAAAGCTGTATCAATAAAGCCCATTTCTAATACTCAAAACTTCTCACCTAGCTAGGTAATCTCTCATTAATGATGCAAAAGACCCCAAATTAATTGTGGAGAGCAGATAAAATTGACAAGGTCTGTCATTCTTTCATATAATAAATCCAAGTAATTGCAAGGAAAATTCATTTTCCTTCCCATTTAACCCCAATTATTTTCATTTAATCAAATAAACGTTGCTATTTTCCTCCAGACCAGACCACTTTGTGTGTGAAACATCTTTTCCAACATGCACTTGGTTCTAGGCATGTTTCTAATCCCCTCAACCAAACACGGAGAGCAGCACAGCATGTCACAGCATACATGGCACGGATAGGAGGGCTCAGTATCTCTGGCTGCCTCAGCAGGAAACCAGACCAAGTCGTCCCAGCAGGGACTTTCCAAGTGGCATTGGAACTAATGCCTGGGGAAGCAGGCACAACACAGAGGTAGAGGGGCAGGAGTGATGCTGTCTTTCTGAGGAATCAGCTTTTGGTAGGTCAAGGTTTGCTGTAGATGATACCAAGTTGGGTGGGACCTGGGGATGCTGACTGATGGAGCTGAACATGAGCAGCTTGTGCCGAGGCCAAGAGCATCCTGGCCTGTATCAGCACCAGTGCAGCAGCAGGGCCAGGGCAGTGATTGTGCCCCTGCACTGGGCATTGGTGAGGCCGCACCTCGAATCCTGTGTTCAGCTCTGGGCCCCTCACTGCAAGAGAGACATTGAGGTGCTGGAGCAGGGCCAGAGAAGGGCAACGGAGCTGGTGCAGGGCCTGGAGCACAAGTGTGATGGGGAACGGCTGAGGGATCTGGGGGGTTCAGCCTGGAGAAGAGAAGGCTCAGGGGGGACCTCATCACTCCCTACAACTGCCTGACAGGAGGATGGAGCCAGGAGGGGGCTGGGCTCTGCTCCCAAGGAACAAGGGATGGGACAAGAGAAAACGGCCTCGAGTTGTGGTTTACGCTGGATATGAGGAAAACGCCTTCACCACAAGGGTACTGGGACAGGCCGCCCAGGGCAATGGTGGATTCGCCATCTCTGGAGGTATTTAAAAGACGTGTGGTGCTTGGGGACATGGTTTAGTGGTGGACTTGGCAGTGCTGGGGAATGGACTCAATGATCTTACAGGTCTGTTCCAACCTAAATGATTCTATAATTCTATGACTTGGTTGGTTTTCCATTCGATGGGCTTGGTGGCATCACGCCACTCTCAAGGTGCCTGACTACTTCTGATGAGAGTGTCCTAGCAATCACTTGCTGCTTTGGTTAATGCTAGTTGTCCACCATGGCATCTCCCACTCTGGTTACCTGCCTATGAATAGTGTCTTTTTTTCTTTTTACTGCAGTTTTCCAGAAACAAGGAGCCATTTCTCAGAACAAGGTGGTGGTGCTGAATAATTGTTTAATTGTTTTGCAACACTAAATTTAATCCAGGAAGAGACATTTTCTTTGGCAGGCTCCCACTTTGGAGTCATGACAAATTTGGCAGAAGTCCGCTCACATCCTTATACCCTGCTGCCCCAAGAGAAACCAGCAGGAGGCCTTTGAAATGTCTTGGTTTTGCAATGCACACATGCTCAGCAAAGCTTTGGAGTGCTTCATGGCTAAAAACACAGCAAATGCCCTTAATGAAGCTGGGCCTGTCCTGGGTCATCATTCCAAGTGGACAGCCGAGCTGCCACAGACAGCAGCACAGACAGCCCATGCCAGAGCAGATAAACCCAGGTTTTTATTGTATCTCCAGCTCAAGGAGGCCTCTGCAGTGCCCTGGGGTTGGGACCTATGCTGGGGAAGGCAATGGTCTGTGCATGCAGAGAGCTGCCATAAGGACAAGGGTGCTCCAATGAGTTCAGAAAGGTGATCATAGAATCATAGAACAGTTAGGGTTGGAAAGGACCTTAAGATCATCCAGTTCCAACCCCCCTGCCATGGGCAGGGACACCTCACACTAAACCATGTCACCCAAGGCTCTGTCTTACCTGGCCTTGAACACTGCCAGGGATGGAGCATTCACAACCTCCCTGGGCAACTCATTCCAGTGCCTCACCACCCTCACAGTAAAGAACTTCTTCCTTATATCCAATCTAAACTTCCCCTGTTCAAGTTTTAACCCATTACCCCTTGTCCTATCACTACAGTCCCTAATGAATAGTCCCTCCACAGCATCTCTATAGGCCCCCTTCAGATACTGGAAGGCTGCTCTGAGGTCTCCACGCAGCCTTCTCTTCTCCAGGCTGAACAGCCTCAACTTTCTCAGCCTGTCTTCATACAGGAGGTGCTCCAGCCCCTGATCATCCTTGTGGTCTCTTCTTCACTTGTTCCAACAGGTCCATGTCCTTTTTATGTTGAGGACACCAGCACTGCACACAGTGCTGCAAGTGAGATAAGGAGTAGCAACAGGAAAGAAACAAACTGGAGCCCCCTTAGGGCCAGGGCCAGAACTTGTCTTACAGAGTTGCTCAACAGTGCCTAGATGGGACTCTTGCAAAAAGGAGGGTCATTGCTGTACACTGTCCATCCAGGGTCTGCATGAGAGAGCCCGAACAAAGGCCACCATTGGCAAGGGCTCAGCTGTGTCATTGGCAGTTCACTGAGGGAAGAGGAGGTATTTGGTTAAAAACCAGACTGGCA